AGAGCATTCAACTTACCAGCAGGGGAAAATGTTTCTACAAAAGGAGATTTTGTGATCTTTGTGGATGTACCAGATTCAGCATCAGAAATGTGACCTGGAAGTCTCAGAGGCATCAGTGGCTGCTTAAAACTTTTGAAGCAATCTCTTAATTATGATAGACACAATGTACTGTAGTCAGTGTCTTTTTATCAAGACATACACAAGTTGTTTCTGGTTTCTTCTTCCACTATGACTGCTAAGTTTGTTTGAAAAGGAAATGTATTACATGATTATCATGAAACTCAAGGTAACTGTTACCTCTAGATTGTTGGAAAGAAAATGCTTTGCAATGTTATACTGGTTTTTTTAAAAAAAAAATTTATGGCTCAAGTGCGCTTCTTTCTTACACAGTATGTCTACTGACTTTTTCGTATGATGTTATAAACTCATTGCTTCTCCTACTAAGTCAATTGGGACTCGCAGAAACCCTACAGGGCAGCGCAGAACTGCACAAATTGTAAATCATTACAAAAGCTGTCTCATCTTCCTATCAGCAGAGCAGCTGGTGGGTTCAAACCACTTACCTGTTGATTAATAGCCTAATCCTTTAGCCACTGCACCACCAAGTTTCCTTTCTTACTTTGTAATAATACCCCTAACTTAAAAAGGAAAAAAGATAATTTTTTTTTAACCTTTAGAGAAACTGCTCCAGGCTGCCTGAAGCTGTTCTATTATGTCTGAAGAAGCCACAGGGCAGCCAATGTAGAGGCAAGGAGCGCCAGCTCAAGCCATTCACCGCAGAGCCTCTACTGGGAAACTCAGGCAAAAGTGGCTGCAGAGAAGTCTGAGATCTCTATCTGCAGTGACTTGGAGACACTGTAGCTACTGCTCCATCATTCAACAACAATCCTACCAGCCTCTCAAGTTCTTAGGACATCAGGATGGGCTGAAACCACTCAATGATTAACATTCATAGTGACCCACTAAAAACCACAAGAGCAGTGGGCTGTCTAAATGTACAACTATAAATAACAGAAATAGAGAAACTAATGAGAGAGAGAGAAATAGTTTCACTCTTAAGACATTTCATCCTACTAAGGAATGTGGTGAGGGGAAAACAGAATCAATGATAGTCTAAAATTGCAGTTTCCAAGCTAAGATTCTGATTCACCAGGTCTGGCAAGGGACCCAAGAATCTGTATTTAAAAGGGGGAAAAGTATTCCCTGAGGAATGGATCCTCCAGTTTTGGAACTAATGTTTAAGACACCATGTATATGGACCCAAGAAGCCAAGCTCCCTGACGCTTTTCCTTGAAGGTATGAGTTGGTGGAAGTCTGGTTTTTTCTCTAGTCAGAAAAAAAAACCTGACACCACCTGGCATTCCCACGGGTTAAGAGAAATGCTTTTGTTTGCTACGGCTGAAGCACTTGTGAGGTGTGGGAGGATGCTAGAAAGAGATATGATTATAATCTGTAAGGATCTGCGTCAAAATGTTAACAGTAACTGTTGTTGTTATGTACCATCGAGTTGCCTGCGACTCAAAGCAACTCTATGTACAACAATCCTAAACCCTGCCCTATTCTGTGCCAATCTTAACTGTCTCTGACACACCTACCCCCACTACCCCAGTCACTGAATCAATCCATCTCATCCAGGGTCTTCCTCTCTTCCTGTCCCTCCACCTTCCCAAGCATCATGTCCCTCTCCAAGAACTGGTCCCTCCTTGCAACATGTCCAAAGTA